AAATGGCTTCACCCAAGCACTAACCATGTGTGAAAGAAGACTTTTTGTGTCATCATTCATATTCTCTGAAAACTGGTATGATCTGTGGATTTACATTCAGAGCTCTAATGTTTGTAAACCATTTACATGAATCTATTTATATCATCCGATTTGAATTGTCTGTTACCATCCTTATCTATAATAGAAGCCATTACATTAACTTCAGTTCTGTTGTGAGCAAGATGTGTAAGCAGCCTGCCAGGTTTGTTGCAAGATTCAAATAGTCTGTGTTTTGCAAAAAAGATTTGTGTCTACGCTTGCTTTGTCAGTAACTGATTCAGGGCAGATTCAAGTTGTCACAAGAATGGTCGGATGTGTCTTCAGAGCTTCCTTTTTTTGCCGAATAGAAGTATAAGACATGATTGCTCCCCCGTATATACTGTATACTTTACCAGTTTACCACAGAGTGGAAGGGCTCATATCAGGGGTTTTTATTTGTGACGATGAAATGTTCCCATTCTTTTGTGACATAATCCACAAACTGCTGGTTACTTAATAATGTTGGATTTAGTCTCCAGTGTCTACAAGCTGGGTCCCTATGAGTAAGGGAGATAATCATACTCATACGAGCATGATCTGAGAGGACCTGGGTTTTTATTCTGTCTAACAGAAATTGTGATGAGAATAGTCTATTTTAGTGTGAACCTTGTGTGAAATTGAAAAAAAAAGAATAGTCTTTATCTGTAGGATGTAGTATCCGCCAGGGGTCATACAATTCAAGATTAGTAAGAAATCTTTTTTATTTTTCAGAGTTGTTAGAGAGTGGAGAATGAGACACATCAACCTTTGGGTCTAAAACACAATTAAAGTCGCCTCCTAAAACTATATATGCAGAGGGAAAAAGTGGTCAAATCTGAGTGGTCAAGTCTAGAATAAAGGAAGGGTCATAAACAGTAGCATATATTCATCCATAAACCACATTCTTCCCACATAAGTAGCCGGACAGAAGTATATGCGGCATGCTGTGCCTTTTACTATTTTATCAAATGTTAAAGGAAGACTACGATGTAGAAGAATGGCAGCGCCCCTGCTTTTTGTGTTAAATGAAGAGTGAAACACCTGTCCCACCCAGTCTCTCATCAGTTTCTTAAGATTTGAAAGATGAGTTTCTTAGGGCATGGCTGTTTGACATTCTGCCTTCCTCCATGTTAGAAGCACTGCTAACTGCTAGTTGGTTGTTTGGGTTCCTGGTGTAGTAACTCGACATGTTTTTGTTTATTTATGTTCCTTGATATTTCGAATACCCCATCCATCCATCCATCCATTTTCATCCGCTTATTTGTTACCGGGTCGCGGGGGCAGCAGTCGCCACCCAAATCACATTGCACCGTACCAACCCCCTTAAACCTTCCTGCGGGTGGTGAGTCCACTGGAAGGTACCAACCGCCCTAACCGGGATTC